CAGACTCGTTCATGGGATACAGAGATGACATCACAATGCAAATGTCAATGATCTTGGATCAGATTCGAGCTCCACTGATTGTCCCAGCCCTTAGGATCGCAGTTTATATCTGCTTAACTATGTCGGTGATGCTATTTGTGGAAAGGGTTTACATGGGAATAGTAATCTCTCTTGTGAAACTCTTTGGTCGGAAACCAGAGAAACGTTTCAAGTGGGAACCAATGAAAGACGACATAGAGCTTGGAAACTCTCTTTATCCTATGGTTCTTGTCCAAATCCCAATGTACAACGAACGAGAGGTACCAACTAATCTTTGTTACTCGATTTTGTTTAGCGATCTTGTTGTGTCTTAATTTTGATTGTTTAAAATGTTGTCGGTGTAGGTTTATCAGCTTTCTATTGGAGCTGCTTGTGGGCTCTCATGGCCTTCTGATCGAATAGTTATTCAAGTTCTTGATGATTCCACTGATCCAACGATCAAAGTAAGTTCCTACGCAAAAGATTAGGTTATTTTAACATTTTACGAAGCATTACAATGTTGTTGTTGTGACAGGATCTAGTGGAGATGGAGTGTAGTAGATGGGCGAGTAAAGGAGTAAACATAAAGTATGAGATTAGAGATAACAGAAACGGGTACAAAGCTGGAGCGTTGAAAGAAGGTATGAAGAAGAGTTATGTCAAAAGCTGTGACTACGTGGCAATCTTTGACGCCGATTTTCAGCCTGAACCGGATTTTCTATGGAGAACCGTACCGTTCCTCCTCCATAATCCTAAGCTTGCTTTAGTTCAAGCTCGCTGGAAATTCGGTAAATATTTATTTAACTGTTTTGTCTGGTTATTTTTTACATTTCTTTCTTTTATTACGAGGTATATAAATTTTGATTTGACTGTGTTGGCTCATCTTTTTGTTGTTGTCACGTGATTGATAAGTGCTATTAATCAGTAATCAGTGCTTAGCTAGAAAGTTACACAAGGGTTTGAGATTCGTTTGATCTCAATTACTACTCACTTTGTAGGCTAAGTACTTTAAATTGTACAACCATTTGTAGTATTACTCAAATCGGATAGTAATAATAATTACAAAATCATTTGATCATTGTACGTTAGTTAATTACCTATACTTATGTTATACTTTGTGTGTTAATAATGTTCTTCCTTTTTGTTTATTGTGAAATTATGACTTTTGAATGAAGAGGGTAGAGTAGGGTCAAATTAAATACCTATAACGAGATTTAAGTGTAAGTGAATAAAAGTGTCAAGTGAAAACATAGAACGGATGAACATATTATATTATATTTTAAACAATTAACACCATAGTTAATGTATTAACAGCATCATATTTTTAATCGTGGGGCTTTATTCTTTAAATATAAAAATTATGTTTACATAAAGTTCTAGTTACATTAGCAGAAGTGTCGGTGGGTGTTTTGTGTGTGTTTATTGTTAGTCCCCAATGTAACCTACCCTAGCGGATCCTGACGTTGACGTATCGATTTTGTTCGTGATTTTCGTGCTCTAGCTTTAAGCTTTAAAATGTGGAGTCACTTTCTTTTACAAATAGGTTTTATTAGTAGTACTAACAAATTATTTTTGAAGGACCTAGAAGAATTGTAGTATAATAGTCAATATCCCTTCTAACTAATCCCATATCTTACAGGAAGAAACCATTTAGGAAAATCTAAGAAAACATCAACGAATTTAAGTTGAGACTTTAATATTTTCTTGTCCTTTTGTATTAGGTATGTAGTTGGTAAATATTTGGTTGGTGTTTTGGCTTTTTGTTTATTTTTCATAAAAACTTTGCATTGTCCACACATTTTCAACAGAGTGATGTTTTTCCATATTAGTCAAATAGATTGTCCACCGGTGAATCTATAACTCCTGCATTCAAAAAGCTGCAACGTATATAGTATTGATGTTCAATCCTGCATAAATTAAACACCCGAATTTTGAAGTATTTTCTTCGAATAAAATTTTAATTTTTGCACTCAAACATTCATCGACACTGTAGAAATGTAGAAAATCAAAAAAGTAATCTGATTAGAACAGAGTTTAGTGTTGAGTGGTGTTGCTTCACTGGCATCGTGGTCGTGTCCCATAATGAGTGCAGAGAACATATTGGGAAGGGGCATGTTTTGTCATTTAGTAAATATAGTATTAGGTAGATTAGTCATTTTCGTTAGTAGATACGCCACGTGTACTGCCAGCTCCCTCCATCTTCCATGTGCAATAACTGGGTCCCATATCGGTCTCTTCTCTACTAGTCTCTGTCACTCTCATCACTCACTTTTCTTTTTCAAGTATATTTTGTTTTTTTAATCCCACTCCTGATACAACCAATTATTGAAAAAAAACTCTTATTGAAACTCACTTTTATTTTATTAACGATGCTTTTAGTCTCACGAGCTGTTTTATTTTAGACAATAAAAATAGTAATAGAAAAAGAGATCATGTGAACTTGTGAAGTAGATTGACAAAATCTAACGAGCTGTCGAAATTTAGTTGGGGAAAAGTCTGAGCTGTATATAGTTTGATAATTGAAAATATTGATTCATTGTCACCAACTAGTTTTAGATGTCTTCATCAATGCCACATTAATTGATTGTTTGCCATATAAATATCAACTAAATTCATCATTCAACTTTTTCTTTAAAAAAATTGTAGTAAATTCGGATGAATGCTTGATGACAAGGATGCAAGAAATGTCTTTGGATTATCATTTTACGGTCGAACAAGAAGTTGGTTCTTCTACTTACGCCTTCTTCGGTTTCAACGGTACTTCATTTCTCTTTTCCTTTATTATTTTTTTGTTTGTTTGTTTGCATTATTAAAAATTTCATAATATTTGGTTACTCTAATCTTAGGGACTGCGGGAATATGGAGAATATCGGCATTAAACGAAGCTGGTGGTTGGAAAGATAGAACGACCGTAGAAGATATGGACCTGGCCGTTCGAGCTAGTCTCAAGGGTTGGAAGTTTTTGTACCTTGGTTCTTTGAAGGTATACTTTGCCTCTTCATAATTTAACAATGTGTATTATGTGTCTTTTAATGGTTGATATATCATCTTAAAATACTATAGGTTAAAAACGAGTTGCCAAGTACATTCAAGGCGTATAGGTATCAACAGCACAGGTGGTCATGTGGTCCAGCTAATCTTTTCAGGAAAATGGCACTCGAAATCATGACCAACAAGGTTTCTAAACTCTTTCTTTCTCACTCCACACAACTGAACCGATCAATTCTATTAGTTAACCGGAACTCACATTCAACATATTGAACCCAAACCGAAACATTACTGTAGTTAATTTTGTAGTCTTGTTTGGTCACAACTGTTATTTAAGTTCATGTTAAAATATTTTTTTTTTCTTTCTGGCAGAACGTGACATTATGGAAGAAAGTTCATGTGATATATAGCTTCTTTGTGGTGAGAAAGCTTGTGGCACACATTGTTACCTTCATCTTCTATTGTGTGGTCTTACCAGCCACGGTTCTTGTACCGGAAGTTACCGTCCCGAAATGGGGAGCGGTTTACATTCCTTCCATAATTACTCTGCTCAACGCTGTTGGTACACCTAGGTAAAAAAAATATCCAAGAGTTTCTTGCGGCTCAAGTGACATCTCGTTTGACCTCTCATTGTTGGTTGCACGTGTCTTATAGGTCACTGCATCTCATGGTGTTTTGGATTCTGTTCGAGAATGTGATGTCCCTTCACAGAACAAAAGCTACCTTCATCGGTTTACTCGAAGGAGGGAGAGTTAACGAGTGGATTGTCACTGAGAAGTTAGGTGATCTCAAGGCCAAGTCAGCAACCAAGGCTCCAAAGAAGCTTCGTTTTAGATTTGGAGATAGGTAAACCTCTCCACGTGTCTTATAGGTCACTGCTTCTTATTTGTAGTTTTGTTTCATTCTAATTTTTTTTTTTTTTTGGCAGAATCCATGTGTTGGAACTCGGTGTAGGAATGTATCTGTTCTCTGTGGGATGTTATGACGCATTGTTTGGGAAGAATCATTATTATCTATACCTTTTCGCGCAAGCATTTGCCTTCTTCATCGCGGGATGTGGACAGATTGGGACAGTGGTGCCTAACTATTGAAGGGAAAGAGGAGTTTTCGAGCGACAAACTGCTCGAGATTAAGATGATGTTTTTATCTTTTTTTCTTGGATACACTTTTAATTTCTTGCTGGTGTGAATAGGGAGAATTGATGATACGATTGTTACAGAAGATGGTGTGTGTAGTTGTGGAAGATATTGATACTTATAGTAAAGAAGAATATATATTTTCAAGGGATTTCTCAGATTCCTTATAGATCATTTCTTGAAAGACAAAAGCGTTTGATTCCAGTTTCATTGTATTAAACATGTGTATTGTAGAAATATGGAGGTACACGAACACAATAAACATTGTATGAAATACCTATGCAACTTGTAGAATTTGAAAGAGTTGTCATCTTTTTGCATCTTTTATTGAACAAACATTGCCTTTGTATTCGTTACTTGTATAATGTTTGAAGGTTTGTCTTTCGAATGAGAAAGACAAATTTTCTTCTTTATTACATACTATTGCATAAGTGGTTATTGAATTTTTATATGATTTTGTCAGTTTCTTCAATTCAGCTGAAAAATGTTAATAGATTCCAAAATTTTGCGGATGATTAAAAAATAAGTCTAAACTGGCCATACACAATAGAACCCTATTTACAAAAAATAACAATCATCAAAGAAAAATAAATAATTTGCAGGCTGTGGGGTTCGAACCCACGCGCACTTATGTGCAGAAGAACTTAAGTCTTCCCCCTTAACCACTCGGGCAAACCTGCTGGGTGACATAGATTACCTTACATTCTTTCTTCATGACGAACCTGTGTTCATATAATACCTTCATTCTAGCCACCAGAGCACAATGCTACCTACATTTATATTAGCTAACCAATTTCAGGCCCATTAGGTTGCTTACTACGTTTGTGCTACGGTGCGATATCTCAAGATCTCATTGTTTTGGCTAAATAATTTTTGCTTTCACAACAAAAGGCAACTTAATATCATATCCACCATATTAGCACCAAACATAAAGGGTTTAACGAAGTTTCGTCTACCCATGACGATTAGGAAAAAGATAACTAAACAGGTTCACTCCCAAACTCGAGGTTTTAAAACCAAACTACATCAAAAGTCTAAAGACGATTATGGATAAGTCTCTTCTTGCTTCTTCAACAGATTTCAAGCAGCTGCACTGTGTTTGGCCTTTGTGTGAGACTGCAAGCCCATCTCCGAATTGAAAGTTCTGTTGCACGAGTTGCACCCAAATGCACCTGCAGACTTTGGGGTCTGCTGCTGCTTCGAAGACTCTCCATTGGTCCCTGAGTTCTTTCCTCCTTGCTTGGATGGATGCGGAGTCGCAACGTGGACATGTGGTTTATTCGTCTCTGTTGTCACAATGTTTAAAATTATATCAAGACATCTTTATAACTCCTAGTAAGAAAGAACTAGGATTAGATATAGTCACCTGATTTCTGAGGAGTTACGAATTTGGCCTTCTTGTTTGAAGCAGTCTTCGAGGTGTTGGCTTCTGCAGTCCTCTTCTTGGTTTCTTCAGCCTATTCGTAAAACATGAATTATAATCAGATTTGCGTTTGACACATATAAAGAGAAACAGGTTACTATACAAAAGAAGGGTGACAAGAAGCGAAATTGCTCCTAAACGAAGGGCAACAAGAACAAATTTAGTATCAACAATCACATATAAAGAGAATATAATGTATACCTTCTTCTGTGGGGTCTCCTCGTCTGATGAGTCATCTTCTTCATCGTCAGATGAGTCTTCATCATCATCGTCCTCATCAACTTCAGCAGTAACCTTCTTTTCTTCCTGAAAAGAAAGTAGAAATAACAAGGATTACGGGTTCATGTGAGGAAAGGTATATGGTAAGGGTACAAAATGGTATATCTTATTTCCAAAACACAACAAGCACAAAGGCTAATGAATCTGTTATCACAAAACATATGATACAACTCTAGTACTTGTTCAAAAGTTTCATGGGTCATCAAAATCAAGTTTGATTCTACAAAATGATCACATTAGTATATAAACAAAAGTACCTCCTCATCTTCAGAGTCGTCATCATCCTCATCATCACTATCATCCTCATCACCATCTTCCTCAGCCTTGGCATCTTCATTAGGCAACTGAAAGTTCACCTGTTTCACACCTGATTTCGCAATAACTGGCGCAGCAAGTTCATCGTCCTCAGACTCAGTGACACAGGACAAGAGAGTCAAGGAAATCTCAAAGACACAGTAAAACAAACAAGTCCCCAAAACAAACAAGTCCCCAAAACAAACAAGTCCCCAAAACAAATTCATCAACGAAGTTCCAAGGTCAAGCAATAACAACATATGTTGAAAGGATATGAATCAGAAGCATGAGCATCAACTTTGTAACCAGTGAAGTAAACACTTCCATCCTTCCCACTATGAGACAGCTCAAAACTCTTTTCCAACACAATCTCTGTGCACAGCTGAGGAAACTTATCATGTGACAGCGTCCCAATCACAAGCTTTTGATCATCAACTTTCATGTAGAGCCTCACTGGCTCGTTCACACCGTTCTTCTTCTCACCTAATGCAACCTATAAAACAAACAAACAAAACTTAAACGCGTCGCTGAAATCGAAACCAAAATCAAAATCAATATCGCGAGGAGACGTGCCTGTGAGATGTGCACAAGCATATCCTCTCCAGGATCAATCCTAAGTGGCTCACCACTCTTAACCTCAACACCTGCAAAACATACCACACAGAGATTAACGGAAACCTAACAAGACGATTCCATAAACACACACACACAATTGGAAACGAAACACTGCTAACAAAACGCACCGTATCATACAGAGATTACTATTCGCAACGGAAACCTAACAAGACGATTCCATAAACACACACACAAAATTGAAAACGAAACACTGCTAACAAAACGCACCGTATCATACAGAGACTACTATTCGCAACGGAAACCTAACCCGTTTTAACAAGACGATTCCAAAAAAAATTGAAAAACGAAACAACAAAACCCTAACTAGAGTGAGAGCACGAAACGAAGAAGAAGAAGTAAGTTAGGAGACCGTTTACCCCAGAACTCCATTGACACAATCGGTAACGAACTGACGGCGACGAATGTGACGGAGAAGAAGGTTCCAGAAGAAGACGAGAGCGGTTGAAGCTTTTTAGGGCGTCGAGTGAGTGAGCCGAAAACGTCGATATAAGGGGGTTTTCAGTGATCTTCTGTTACGCGGACCAGTTAGTGATTTATTTTCTGCTTTTTAGTGGGCCTGGATCTTTAAGTGAGCCCAAAATAAATAACGTTTTAAGCCCAGATCTTTTACTATAAACGGTGTCAAGACGGATCGTAACGGGCTAGGGACGCGCTTTAATTGACGTGAAGGAAATTTCCGTTTATATCGTTTGGTCAGACGTTTTCGTCAACATGTGGGATCCACACTCATTCTTTAAAGTAAGTCCCACGGACAGATAGAGCATTATTACATACATGCCCACGGTACTGTTTAATTTATTTGTGTTTTGCGTAAACCGATTTCCTTACCATCACAAAAGGAACCCTCATTAAAAAACTGAACAAAATCTATGAGGAATATGTGATAACGCTAAGTACAGTCTACGAATAATTAAACGGGGTATTGCACGAGTGGGAATTAAGCAATGGACAACCAAATCCTGCTTATGCCAACTAGTTAATGATTAAGTTACAATTTTATTAATCAATCTACATCTAGGCTGGTACATCTATCCGAGGCATCTTGTGTATATAGTTTTACTTTTAGCGGTATAGTAGTTCTTTCCTGACATGAGTCAAATGAATTTATTCCTAGGAAAATGTTTAAAAACATATTCCTGACTCCAAAGGTACAGTTTATATTATTTTCTAGAACCAGACTCAAAAATAAATAAAAAGATTTTGAAGACTTTTGGTTCTAATAAATATATAGTGTCCCATAAACTTCCTCCATATATTGAACTACCTACTTTATACCAAGCAGACGTAATATAATAAAATTGTGAAGATGGCAAAGCGTTATAGATAAAAGAAGCGACGTGATGAAAATATCTACAAGGCGATGGCTAAGAAATTACTTAATGACAAAAATGCGAGTGCATGAACCTGGCAATATTCGATGAACCTTAGTGCTATTGATTAATGATATACATAGTGCAATATTTTAAAACTTATTTATTTATCGTCCAACTTGCGTTGATTACTTCATACATAAATTAATGACAGCTCATTGACCATCCGGAAGAATCTGAAAATCCTCTAGGAAAAGAAGATTTTTTATATATATAGAAAGTTTTCATATGTTAGATTATACAGTAGTTTTGTGACAAAAAAACAATTATACAGTAGTTAGATCTTGAACGTAACTCATATCAGTTATCATATCATGTAACTAAATCAAAGTTAGGAGCAATTTATTTAGTTGTTAGCAACAACTATCACTATTTTGTAAAATAAAATTGTATTTTTAAAAAAATTAGTATAAGAAAATTAGTGTATTTTCCACATTTATGTTTCACTACTAGTTAGTGTTTTCTGTTGTTTTAAGTGTCTTCTTCTGTTGATATCGTGCTAAAGTTTACTTTTGTTATATAAGATGTTTAAAATGTTATCTTGAAGATCAAATATATATGGATTTTAAAGTATACTTCCTTTATACAAATAGTACCGTTTAAGATTTCCACGTCAGCAGTTTATTCATGCTTATTTACAATCCTAGTTTTTTATTATACTTGAAAGTTGTAATGAAAGGAATTCAAAACTAATTAGGTTTAAAGCTTTCGAAAAAAAAACTAACTAGCTTTAAGCAAACTAATAATGTAATGCTTGCGGGAAGCCTCTATGGCAGTCAACAAAACAACATGATTGGAAAGACAAGACGGCATCTCTGTTAAACATGTATAACGAGTGTTGGTTTCATACATCGAATAAAAAAAACTAATGGATGACAAAAAGTAAATGAACAAAGAAAAGATGTATTGGAAAAAAAAATCTAAACACGATTGGTTTGAAAAGTTAAAGATAATACTGGTTGAAAAACTTCCTCGCAGAAAACCGTGAAGATAATAATACTACTATATCTGAATTCAGAAAGAGGAAAATATATTCTTGTTCCTTTGCTTGTCAATTGTCAACATAAAAAAGTTTTCGTAAGAGAAGATACATGCATGGTAGAAGTTTTCTACACGCAGAGGTGCGAATGTTTGAAACAGACAAAGGAATATATATATATAAATACGAACCCATCCTTTTCTCTCACACGAATACATCCCCCTCTAACCCGATACTTAGCCCATTTCTTCATTTACAGATTTATTTATCAAATGTTTGTTCTCCTTTATAAAACACTTCATATATCTGCAGATTCATACACTTTGGACGTTTAATGTCACATTATGGACTCTTTATTTTGCTTTATTAACATGTTTGATGAGTGGTGATACGACAATGACATTAGCACAAGCTTGGTTTCATTGTTTTCAACTCGGATTGGTCTAAGGATTATTTATCATCAACTTTTAGAGAGACGTAACTGGACAACATGGTTTTTCTTTTCTAACTTGTCTCCTCTTGGAATTCTTTACCTTGAAACTATGATTTTTTTTCTTCTGAAGCTGGAGTTTCATTCCACAAAGAAAATTAATAAAAAATTAGTTGTTTAAATAAAAGATTTTAAATTCATTTTGTTTGCAACAAAGTAGATCATGTAAAGTAAACACAAAAAAAACTAAACATTAAGTAGTAATTATTTACAGAAAAACCATTTAGAAAATGTTACATAACAGTAGAACCTCTATAAACTAATAATATTATGACTTTAAAATTTTGTTGATTTATAGAAATATTAATTTACAAAAAATTATTTAGATTATTTATATTTTAAATTATATTTATTCCAAAATAAGAAAAATATTGATTTTATTGTATAGATTTGAAATTTGATATTTAAATTAACTTTACTATATTATTTGATGTATATAATATATATTCCATAGAATTTAAATGTGGTCTTATATATAATATTACTAAATCTCATCAAAAATATACTAAGTATTATAAATAGATAAAGATAATTTTGTACTTGATATAAAACAATATAATGATAGATTCTTACTTCTATAAAATATGTAAACAATATAAATTATTAATCTATAATATTTTAATAAGACCATATATTTTTATATATATTTTTAAAAAATATTATCTTACTATTTTATTAAGTTGGAACAAACAAATTTTATTAATTTATAGAAATTATTAGTTTCTCAAATATTAATCTATTTCTAATGTATCAGAATAAAAAAGGCAAAAAGTTAAACCAAAGTTCAATTATATTAGGTTCAAATGTCAAAGTTCCTTAGAAAAAAGAGGGTCAAAAAGGAATAATCACGGAAGTATATCAAACAGAAACGCACCGAATGTTTCATACGATATAACGCGAAAAACAAATTCCAAAAAATTCATTAAGAGAGAGAATTTCAAAAAAAGGTGGAAAAAAATGGAAAACTAGAAAGAGAGAAAGAGAAAACAAGTGGCTAGCTAGCTCGCCGAACTTCTTCCTTCAACAATGGCGGTTTCCTAGGGTTTCACCTCATCTAGATCACGAATCTTCCCATGGAAATGTCCGGTACTAGAAGATCCAATTACACCTTACTCAGTCAATTCCCCGACGACCAAGTCTCCGTCTCCGTCACCGGAGCCCCTCCTCCTCACTACGACTCCTTATCCAGCGCCAACAACAGCGGAAACAACAACGGGAAATCCAAAACCGGATTCGATTGGGATCATGGCGATCACAGGCAACCGAATCGCGTGGGGAATATGTACTCTTCCTCCTCTCTTAACTTGCAGAGGCAATCGAGTGGGAGTAGTTTCGGCGAGAGCTCTCTGTCTGGCGATTACTATGTGCCTACGCTTTCCGCGACCGGTAGCGAGATCGAAATGGTTGGGTTTCCGCAAGACGATGGGTTTAGGATCGGGTTTGGAGGCGGGGGAGGTGATTTGAGGGTGCAGATGGCGACGGAGGCGGGTGCTGGAGGTTCGGCTTCTGGGAAGAGCTGGGCGCAGCAGACGGAGGAGAGTTATCAGTTGCAGCTTGCGTTGGCGTTGAGGCTTTCCTCGGAGGCTACTTGTGCGGATGATCCGAATTTTCTGGATCCTGTACCGGATGAGTCTGCTTTGAGGACGTCTCCGAGTTCGGCTGAAACTGTTTCGCATCGCTTCTGGGTACTGACTGGTTTAGATGCCTTTTATTTCAAAAAAAATTTATCGAATCTTTGGTTTATGCGTGTGAAATTTAGTTGCTGAGTGTTTTGGTTTGGGATCTCGAACTAGGGATTATTTAGTTGTAGATGTTTTAGATGTTATGGGATAATAGGTGTTAGTTCTATTGGATTCTTCAGGAGTTGTTGAAGGTATAGAAGTTCTGATTATCAATATGTGTGTTTTTGAGGAGTTGTTTAGAATAGGTCTCTGTGCAGTCTAGTAATAGACTGTGTAGTTAAATACTTTTTTTGCTAATTGTACTGGACATTTAATCTAAAATTCTGCTCTCCTTTACATGGAGCTTAGTAGAGAGTTCGTAAAGGAAGATATGCAAGAGCTGAAAAATCCCAGTGGATTAATGTTACACCTGCTGTGGTGTATGAGCTATATCATACTGTGCAGGGCAGCGGAATATCATGCCCTCACATTTAGCAGTGCGTTTTAGTTTGTTTGGCAGTTCTTGAATTAACAGATGTGACATTGTTTTAGATGCATTGCAGGTTATGATTGTTTTATGTACTGTATCAGGTCAATGGATGCTTATCATACTATGATAAAGTTCCCGATGGGTTTTATATGATTGATGGTCTGGATCCATATATTTGGACCTTGTGCATTGATCTACATGAAAGTGGCCGCATCCCTTCGATTGAATCATTGAGAGCTGTTGAATCCGGTGTTGACTCTACGCTTGAAGCTATCTTAGTCGATCCGCGTGTTGATCCAACCTTCAAGGAACTTCACAATAGAGTCCACGACATATCCTGTAGCTGCATAACCACAAAAGAGGTTGTTGACCAGCTGGCAAAACTAATCTGCAATCGTATGGGGTTTGTACTCATACAATCCTCATAATCTTTTTGAAGTAATAATTTTATATTTTCCTCTGGCTTCTCACACT